CAAACTTTAACATTAGATATAACAATTCCGAGGAGTCTCGGTTTCACGATTGAAACTATTATTTATTCCCTATTGTTAAATTTCATTTTCCCCCAAATATACACATATTTCGGCCTTAGCATTGACGTATTATAAACGTATGCAATACGTAATAGTAAAATATATTAATATATATGGCGAATAATCTCCGACTGGAGACTAAAGCATTTCTTGTAATGAAGTAATATGGCTTGGGAGTAGTAACTCGAGTTGGTTAAATATTATTTTTAGTGCTTACTGAAATTAATTCAAAAAAATATAAGGCGTTTTTGGAGAATTTTTTATAACCGGAAAGATAACCCATTTTTATATAGTAAGTTCCATTTTATCTTGAAATTTAAGATGTTCTCTTTAGAAGATTTTATTTGATAATCATATTAGCCAAACTTGGTTAGAACAAGTAATTTTTTTCTTAATAACCAGGACCTTGTTTATTTATTTAGAAATTTGTTGATTGTGAGTGAATACCGACGATTGAGATTTAGACTTATTCTATTACTAACTATCCTATGAAAAAAATGTCAAGAAGGTTTAATTTCTTAGAAAAACGTTTACAAGAAAGAAAGTCTTAAATAAATACTTTCGAATTCTTGCAGGGAAAGTCTAAGCAAGTCTATTTTCTATAAACTATAAATAAACTTTTTGTAAAATTTTCTTCATATAGGCTTATGAATAATAAAAAATAATAAAAAATGAAATAATTAATTTTCTTGAGGAACTTCAACTTGCATTTTTTTGCCGTGAAATGAATTATTCAAAGGACATAATATTAGGATGATGCCATAATTACTGCACCGTGACTTCATTCGCGTAAGAGCAATTGTTTTTCCTATTCATATATCTTACTCATTCACACATTTACATATATAAATTGATTTTTCATCGAAGTGATGCTTACTTGAGTAACGAAAGATGTAGTTTTGATTTGAATTCATTTACTGGTTACTTTAAATTTTTTCTTGGAACATGTGAATAAATCGAAAATGTGACATTAAAAGGTATATATATATATATACATACATACACACACACGTCCAAGATCTCACGACGAAAAGAGACTTCGAGAAAATCAAAGTGAAATATATATATTCCTCAAAAGATTTACTGATTTATAACCATTATTTGGATAGTCTGATGCACAATTGGATGAATGAAGGGTTTTAGTTGAAATCAAAGTCACTAATAAGAATGTATACCTTGTAATTTATTAGTAGCATAATCTAACATTGTGTGACACTATTTTGTTTCTAAAAAAAAACGATTTTTTTTTTTCTAATTATACAAAATCTCGTCCATTCTAATTCATCAGAGTTCATTACTCCATTCAACAAAAGATGCTGTTAGAAAATCAACTCGCATTATTTTAAAATTATAAAATCATTCATATGAAATAGTTTCTTTGATAAGCTGTTGGTTGGTTCTACCAATCAATAGACGATAATAACATATGTTTATCATCATATCTTATCAAAATATTTTTACTATTTTTTTTTTACCATGTATCATATCTGAATGACGGAACAAAATCCTAGCTTCCTAGGCCGATATGTAAATATTTACTAGTTAAATACACGATTAATCGAGTCAAACAGGTTTTCTGTAAAAAACAATGAAATTTGTCCGAGAAGTTTTATTTAGAGAAACCAGTTAATGCTGTAAGTTTATATATGAAAGTGTATCTTTGGGGAAAGAAAAAACAAATTCCGTAAATACTGGGTAAACAAAGTACATATTAATACCAACACGGAATTTGCTAAAAAAAAAAACTTTTTTTTTTTTTTTTTAATGCGGAAAAATGGAATTTTCTTCTACATTTTCCGAAATTGGGGGGATTATTTTTGACTATTTTTTTTTTTTTTTTTAAAATTTTTTTATCTTGAAGAGGATTTTGTTGTTATCTAATTATTATTCAAAGTAATAATTCATATCGGAATAACCCTTATCCCGAAACAAAGCAGCTTTTTTTTAATATTATCAATTAATAATTGACCCATCAGCATTGTGCAAATTATGCAAAGTTATTTTGTATTACTTGCAAATGTAGGAGGATTCTCATTAACAATTAGTTTTTTGCAAGAGATCAATATAAAGTTAGCAAATCATCTGTAAGGAATAATAATCATATTTTTTTTAGAGAAAATTTTAGAGAAGGCAAAGAATTTGGTAAATTGATAAAATAAAAATTTTAAATTTTATTATAGAATTGAATAAAGTTTTTTGTTTATAAACCTGGCGCCTCTAATACTAAACTTATCACAGGCGAAAAATCAAAATTTGACTTGTGCAGTAAATATTTGTAACAACCCATTGTTGAAGCTTTTTTTTTTTTTTAAAAAAACAATTCTGATTTCATTTTACGAATTAATCGACAAAATCCAAATTTTAAATGACATACATTCATACCTAAATATGTCACATAATCCATAAATTCAAGGGTTTGAGATGTATGTACAAGAACAGACAAAAATACTTCTAATTTATAAATGTAAACAAATTTGTAAATATCAGTAGTAGTAGTAAGATTAGAACAAATCATAAATATTATTTATAAGGTAATTCGTGAATTACAGCAATTTAGCATTATGGTATAAGCCAACTTGATCATAAATGCATCATCTCCATAAGTGCATCATATGTCTTGTCCCAAGCTTAGATATAAATGTTTTATTTTCTGCACTGCCCAAACTCATTCCATATGATAATAATAATAAAATGCGCACATGATTTCACGTGATCATAAAGTAATATAAAATTTTGGTAATTCCCCGTGTTACATGAAAAGATTAGGCGCAAAGAATTATTAAAATAACAGAATAAGAATACAGGCGATGGAATTCTATAGTTATTATACATATTAAGGATTACATTTATAATTCTTGCTGCAAAGGCTTTAAATTTAGTAATTATAAATCAAAATAAAATCTTATCTAATTCCCAAAATGTATAGTAAATTCATCACAATAAAATCTTTTGACTCATTCATAAATCAGCAATTAACCAACAATGGGTAAATCAAAGCTCTCTTTAACCACAGGATGAGTTTTCGAAATTTCATTGTCATCACCATCATGTTCAAAGAATGATTGTGTACATTGACAAAAAAATTAGTTTCATCACACTCACTATTCGATTTGACATGCAATGAACATACTAGAAATGAATTTCATAGGATCTGTTATAATTTGTGGCTGCGTTCACCCGATTTCGTGCATTCATATTAACATACCATCTTCAAATTCATTTCATCTAATCCTATAACTAAAACCTTTTTGTAATGCGAAATTATCAACAAGAGTAAGTTTCTTCTAGATCCAAATATAAGTCGGTGACATACTTTTATAAAAATTTACATAAATTGACGTTCTGGGCGGATATTTTCTTACTTGTACATTATTTCTTATCATTAAATAAATTAAAAATCTGCTTGGCGAACTTGTACGTTTTTTTATAATCGATTAAAATATTGGGTAAATAGACTAATTAAACAATTCAACCCATGTTTTACTTTAGTAAAGTACAAATTCCACATGCAAGGATTTAGTTGAAACTTCATTATAAGAATAACAGTTCAATTGCTTGCTGAATTAAACTCTGTTTATAGAACAACGTTTGTATGAAAAAATTTAATTGACGTTTTTTGGATATTTTTTTTATCAAAATAAAAATAACCGAAATTTTGTATTTCGTTCGGGTCAATGAAATTTTCCTTTTTTAAAATTTATCATCAAAATGCCGCCATGCTATTTTTATAAAATCCCATATATAGAAGTTTAAAAATGGATAACAATCTACGATCTACATGGATTAACTGTATTGAAAAAATAGTCGTACAACTTCTAAACTTATGTTTAATAAGGGTTCTCTATTTTTGTTATTAAAAACTAATAAATAATATCTTAATTTATATAAATAAATTGTTATAATATGATCAAAACCATAAAAGTTAAATAAAATGAATAAACTATTGAGAATTTGTTACATTTAAATTTTGTAAAGCATAAATCAAAGTAAATAATCGGCAATGTAAACATGATAGAGTATTAGCTGGCGGTCTGGTGTTTGCAATCACCAACATAATCATATAGTCAAACAAAAATAAATAAATAAATGGAATTTTAGACAATAGTCCCCTATATGTAAGAAAAAAAACTATATGTGCGGGATATAATGAATATTTGATGAAGGAGCATGACAAGGCTTTATATTCATGGTTGGAAGTTGAATGC